TTCGTGTGTACTGCACTGTGGGTTAATTCCCAACAGACTTGTACCATATATCCGGTGAAAATTTGTTTGTGTGCCATACTCTGAAGACCCTGAGTTGTTGGTAGCCGAGTTCTGACTATTACCACTTGTGCTATTGAGGGTGACATTGTTGTGACATTGGATATTAGTGTGTACCGTGGTGCGATTTCGCACGTTGTGAGTGCTAATACTATTGACCGTGGGAAGTGTGGGCTTATTTAAGCTGCCGCTGTTTTTGTTGGCATGATTTAGAGGCATATTTTCCTTACCTTCAGCAATGAAGTTATGGCTAGGAGAGGACAATGTCGAATTTCGGGGGTTTTGACTTTTTTCTGGGGTTATTTAGTGGAATTTTAGATTCTGCTGTGATAGGTGGTATGGTTTATTATTTATTTGGTTACAGTCTAGTGGCCTTTCGGCTGGTGTTGCACTCAGATGGGATAATTCTGTGTGTTTTGAGAGGGGTGATGCGGTGTGGTCTACTGTATCTTTCACAGGGTTGGGAATAATGGCTGCGTGCAATGTCCTATTACTTATTTCACAATTAGGCTTAGAGAGATAATTATATGCACGCCTTTCTATGACAGTTTTGTCCACCCCGACGATTACAGTTTTATAGGTTCTGGCTTGCGATAATGTGTGTTGGGAGTGCATAAATTTTCTGGTCTCTGCCGGTGTTTCGAACTGAAAGCGAATAGGACAACACTTTTCATGTTGACTCTTTTTCAGCCTATAGCACTTAGTCTTGGAGATAGACATTTTCGCCTCACTAAGTAAGATGCGCTGTACCTTTTTTAGTGTCTCATTGTCCGAAACGTTGTAGACAATAGCACTCAGTTTTGCCTCGAGTCGTTTTGTTACTTCTGTGGTAACAAAATTAATGAGGTTATCTACCTTAGTTACCGATTCTGTGTCAAGCTTGTTAAGGTTTACAGTTTTCATGAGGATAGTTAGTGGTGTCAGTTCACAGACCTGCAACCTGATATCGCTGATCTGATCTGATAATTTGGATATCTCGGTATTGGTTTCGATGTTTTCAGCATTTACTGACTTATTGTTTTTCATTTCCCTTAACTCAGCCTTAAGTTCTCCTATAGACAACTTTAGAAGTTCTATTTCTGAAGATAGTACTGAAGAAGAGCTTGATGGCTGGAGTCTTCCGATAAGCACATAAGGTGAAGGAAGGAGTTCTGTATGAGCAGAGGGTACTGAATTTTTAGGAGTAGTGCTAATACTAGCTGTCAGTACAGTTTTATCTTCAGTTCCAGCTCGACGCTTACGGCGTACAAGTGAGTTATGTGACACATTATAGCCTTTTGTAGGTGGTGTATTGCTTGATGTAGCAATCAAGGACGTCAAATTAGACACCAGTTTTATAGTAGATTGGGTTCGTTGCTTTTTACTTTGATTAACCGTAACTATTAGAAATGAGAGTTAGCGGTTACAAGTATGGAACCAGTATAGTACTTGTGCAAGTATTACAACAAGATAAATTTTATGTAACGAATCACGTAAAAATGTACGCAAACGTTGAACGTATCGCGATACACTTTTAATGACTAGTTATATTGGGGAATTACATTATGCTTTATTTTTTCTGATGTATTTTTAATCCATGCGATGAACTTACTTGGGTTTTTTGTTAATGCGAATACAATATTTCTATATATCTTGATGTGCTCCATTGAATGACTGGTTATCATATTGTTCCCACAAACCAAAGACAAAAACGTCAGCAACCATGTAATTTAACCATGAACCAAATTTATGAAATTTAAATAATGCTTATCCATGCCTGTACATTTGGTGTGTCCTACACAGTAAGAAAATATGTGTATTTTATTAAGACATTATTATTAAGTATGATTGCTAATTGTATATGTAATTTATCAGACTGATGATGCCTGTAATTTGGCATCCCTCATGTACAAAATGAGAATACACTATTATTGTTAATATAATAATACTTACTAATCATGCGAGTTCAATTCTTAAAATTACATTGTTATTAGAATATTTAAAATGATTAAAATATTTATACATCAAATGTTCTCTTGCTTTACCACGCTCGTTTCCCTTATAACACTCAATTATTGTGCCTAGTGTATTATTTGATATACGAATTATAATACTGATTATACTCTTATCATATATGGTTTGATTAACCCTACGGCTCCCTGTAGACTAACTGCCATTCTTCAGTTTACACACACTGCAGTATTGCTAGCCAAATGCCAAAATTTTGTTGGTTCTGTGTTAATATCTTTTTATAATATATCTAGACACGTTACTTTGCAATGTCAGATGTTTACTATATATTAGTACACTAAGTCCTGCCAACCGACCTCACCTTCAGTTCATACTACCTACATTGAACCCTAACTATAGTGTTCTGCTGAATCTTGCTCCACTATTCACAAAACCTATTCGTTTTACTCTTTAAGTTTTTAGCTTTTTATAAAGTAATCTGTTCATTAGGATGCATGCACACATATATAATATGTTCATAAAGATGTACGTGGAGACCTATTGGAAGCACTCATTAAGAAAGCTGGGGAGATGGAATATAGGGTACGAACATGTCTGGTACCAAGCAATATATTTCTGGTAGCCATAATAATCATAGTCTTAGAGCCTAATATCAAGAAAGGAGGGCGGGTGGCGCTAGCGGATCAGTAGATATGATGGTGTTCACGAAGGTGAATCACACCATTCTGCAGGAAGAGCAATATGCAAATTGACGGCTCGAGATATTTCTGATTTTTATGAGGGCTTAGATCTTCATCTTGAAAAAGATAATAATGAACGCCTTCAAAGATCATGCTTCTACCTTAAAATATAAACCATTCGCTCAGCCTATTGTTGAGACTCGACCAAGTGAGCTCCGCGCAGATTTATGGGGCATCTTATAAATTAACTTGCTATCCATTGTCGTATCTCCGAATACCACATCATAATGTCTTATCTCATTTATTTTCTAATAACGTCTTAACTTGATCCTCATTATATTTCATTAAACCTAACATTTTATAGCTCTTTATGAATTTGATTCGACTTATTCTATTGCTAATCTCTGTAGGGTGCGGTTGTGCACCAAATAGACAAAAAAGCATGAAATAAAAACAACTGGCTTGAAAGTAAGTGTATAAAAGCCAAAAGTGGACATCATGATTGTAAGAACTATATTGGTTTTATTATACATTGCAAATGAACGTTGTCGGCCTAGGGATTAATTACTTCCCCATTCTGTTTCATATATAAATGTATTTATTAACGATATATTGCACCTACTTAATTTATTACACTTTAATGATTCACCTTAGCACTTTAACTTTTCTAAAACAGCTTCCAATCTCTTGTAAACGTTGTACCTACCTCAATATTGGTTGGTTATCGCATGCCTAAAACCACGGGATGAAAACGAAACGAAGTCAGTTTCCCGCTGAACCTGGAGGACAATTGCACAATTCACTAACTATACGGCCTAGTTCAGGCAATGAGTGTATTATATGTATATTCATATATATATATATATATAGATATAGATATAAATTCAGAAACAACCATGAATTGATCGTTTAATCTTCAACCATAGGGACGACCAAGGAGTCATTTTATCTAATTCCTTTTGCACTACATTCTCGAAGTACCCTAAGTCATCACGTTGGAATGTATAAGCTACCTTTAGGTCATCTGCAAAGATGAATGGTTTCCTGTGCGTGAAGCAAGCGCATATGTCATTGATGTATTGCGTAAATAGGAGGGGTCCAATGACACTACCTTGTACAACACCAGAAGTGATAGGGCTAGGTTTGGAGGTTATAGACCCGAGTTTAACTATTTGGGACCTATTGTTAAGGAATGATTTAAGCCATCCTAATAACGGGTCACGTATTCCTAATCAGTTCAGCTTATTTGTTAGCAGTAAATGGTCAACACGGTCAAATGCTTTAGAAATATCAAAGTAGATGACAAGTACTAGTTGCCGTCTGTCACGACTGCTGGTTACAAAATTGAAGAAGTCTAGGTGACATGTTAAACATGATCTGGATTTCAGGAATCCATGTTGGTTCGGACTTATAATATTGCGGCTAGGCATATGTTTGATTAAGTTATCTTTAACTAGTCTCTAATAATAATAATAATATATATTCTTATTTTTTACATGAGGGACGCCAGTTTACAAGCATCATCAATTCGATAAGTTGCACATAATATTAATAAGCATATTTAGTAAAGATAATATGATAATGTACATTATTTCCCTAGCTATGTAGGGTACACCAATTGTATAGGCATGCATAAATATTGTTTTAATAATAATAATATATTCCTTCCTGTTTATGCAGGAACATACTATTGTACAGGCATGGATAAGTTGTTATATAAATTACACATAATTCGATGTATAATGGACTTACAGTTTTGTTGTTCTTTCTGACATTAGAGTCAGTCGGAAAAGTCTGCTATATAGTCTGTTTGTGTAGCACATAAAGAGATATAGAGATATTGTCTTCGGATTAACAAAAAACCCAGACATCAGATGAATGTAATACAGATATCTGGGAAAAATAAAGCTTGAAGTCAATTCTCTTACATAGCTTTGTTGTGAACAACATCCTTGGCTTAAAGATTATTGATGTATTATGTTGAGATCAGTGATATATTTATTCCATTTTTCAGCAGTCTTATCGTAGTTTCATAACAGGAGAGAAATTTGATCGTGGAGGCGAATACTAGATAAGGTCTTGTTGGGTTGTTTATGGTTGTTGTGAAAATTCAGAAGCCTTCATCACGAGAAGAAAATACCCACAAGCAGTAGAAATCCATTAATTAATGCGTCTAAAACTTATGTATTTTACTCTCAACAATGACATTGCGGATCAAATGAGATAATCATTTCACTGATTTCAAAATAACACATCAATGGACTATAATTCAATGATTCTGTAAACAAAATGTTATGTATGGAAACTGACTTCAAGCTTTATTTTTTCCCAGGCACTTATAATCCATCCACCAAAGACCTGGCTTTTTCTTGATAATGCGAAGACAATACTTCTGTATTTCCTGATGTGTTGCACTCACTGACAATCTAGCAGATTTTTCCAACTATGCGCATAAATGATTGTACTTGAGTGAAAAGGATGTTTTATTCTACTGTGATTAGCATTTATCAAGTGCATGTGTCAATGTAGTTGAAGATTGAACGATCGATTCTTGGTTGTTTGCTCAAAATCAACTTCCCCAATTTTCGCGGAGGCATCAATACGACAGTCATCGTCTCATCGGTCGCTGTTCAGAAAGAAGAGTGAAACATCGTCAGAAGTAACAATGATTTATTATTGTAATATTAGTTTTCAGACCTTAGTTGCTTAGTTCGTTTATTCCTTTTATATGTTGGTGTAACAATAAAGAAATAACAAGCAGCAGATCGGTGTTTTGGTTTTTGCGTCCGTTATTACTAAGCGTTTCTGAAACTCAAAGGAACAGCGTGGGCCCGAGCGTAGCGAGAGCTGGGCATTAACGGTTTATGAGACGAGACTGACAGTTTCTGACGATAGAAAGAGATCTGGCGGATAGAAACAGTTGGTGAAAGTTTGGATAGTCGCCGTTCATCTTTCCTGGTGCCGGTCAAGTCCCCTTTGAACAAGCAATATCTAGAACGTTTTTGGAATTGGCTCAAGTTCAACAATGTCTGGGTCAAAGACGGGACAGAGTGTCTTGGATGCAAACAGGAAAGTAAGTCATGGTGACTTGTCTGTTAATTGTTACGATCTGTCTGATGTTAAGCATGACATGGTTGATGTTACTGTTTCGCCATCCAGGGATAATAGGAACATCAAACTCTCTAAATTTGAACCACGGTGTTTCGATGGAAACCCGGCTGATTATTTACAATTTGTAAGGGAGTTTGAGATCATGCTGAGTAGTTTTTTATTAAGTGATGAATTGAAATTGATGTATTTGATGAGGTATTGCACTGGAGATGCTTCAAGAGCTATACAGTGCTGTAAGTTTATGAAGCCAAAAGAGGGCTACAACGAGGCTATGAGCATATTACGTCAAAGGTTTGGATGACCTTCGATGATTATAGGGAAATTATTCGACGCTGTTAAGTGTAATGGTGGTCAATTACAGGATGACTCCCAGGCACTCACTGAGTTTTTAGATAATTTGCTAATTTACAAGAATGGAATGATTTCGATGAATCGCACGAGTGACCTCAACTCGAGTTTTATACTAGAAGTAATAGCAAGACGTCTACCTACTCGACTGCAAAGGAAGTGGGTGAAGATAAGCTCCCGTATGGAGGATGACGGTATCGAGCCAAGGTTTGATGATATCCTGAATTTGGTAAAAGATAGCGTCAATCAATCTATGAGCAAGTTTTCCAGTCTATTAGATCTCACCCCTAGAATAGAGCAGTCTGTGAGTGAAATGCAATCATTGATAACGAGTAGGCCTCAGAGAGGTGGTTATCGAGAAAGCTCCATGATGTCTAGTAATGCATATAGACCTAGTGAGTGTAACAGGTTTCGTAGTACATCCTCAACTGATAGGTTACAAGATGCAAGACAAACACGGTTGTGCTTGACACGTGTGCAAGTGGTGCATACAGAAGTGAACTGTGAACCGGTGAGCAAGTTCAGTGATAAGCTAAATGTAAACTCCAGACCTGACTCCGAATTGTGTGACGATAACGGTGTTGTGAAGAAGTCTGTAGTTGCAACTGGTAAGCCGTTGTTGAATAAAGTGTCACAGAATAGAGTTGCTGCTTCAGAGTGCAGTTCTGACCCTACAAGTTTACAAGGTATTACTAGTCAGAGTGAAGATATAAAACATTTAGGGATTTGTGAGGAGGAACCGAAATTGTCTACTTGTGTTATTAAAGAGTTTGAAATTGATGGAGTCGACCAGATAGATGATGGTAAAGTGAATATTCGTGATAATGATGATGATACTTCACATTTGTCTTTGGTTTATCATGATGAGATGCGGGATATGCCTACTCCTGCTAAGATAATTAAAGGTTCTGTACAACTTGAAGGTGAAGTAGAATTGAATGCAGATGCAGTTGCAGAAGGCATACATACTTGTGAGACCGTCAGTGTGATTGATCAGCATGTAGCCCACCTAACATCAGATGCTATTGCTAAACCTGAGCTGATAGTAAAAGACAGCAGTGGTGGTGATCTTGCATGTAGACAAATTTCTGAAAGTCAAGCAACAAAAGCTTCTGATCCACCACTAAGTTCATCACCTTGTGTCACTCAGTCATCGTTGGTGCTGTCATCCACAATGAAAAAGACGCCCATCAACTCAAGTATCTTGTCCAATGACTATGATAGTATCAGTTTGTTTGAAAGGACGAATATCAATGGTCAGTTTAGTGAGGATAAGCCAGGTTTAAACGAGAGAGTAATTGTTAAATTGACTTGCACGAATAAAGGCATTTCTAGTTTCAAGTTACTATTTGAATGTTATTATCTTTGGTGTAAATTACTCTGTTTCTATACTTGGTTGATGAGATATGTCGTGTGTTTGTTGGTCATCTATATTCTACGATACAATGACATGGGCGTGTTGCCGTTCAGATTTGAGGATATAGCTGATAGAAGGAAGTTAGCAAATGAACTCTGCGACGATTTTCCAACTTAGAGCGTCAACCTGAGAAGGGTTGTAGGCGTACTGGTGTAAGTCCTACAATTCTTCAAAGGAATTCCACCAAGAGATGTTCGGCGAGGTTGTTTGTACTATTTGTATATACGTGTGGTGTGTCATCAATTGGTGTATTTTGGATTCATTGTGTTTACTTGTTGTTTTCGTACCTTGTTGTTATTGCGTAAATTTGTTAAAATTTTCGTCCTGATTATTTCTGAAGTCGTTTCGAGTCTTCTACATCCATGAATGAATTGATTGATGTTAAGGACAGCAGATGGGTCGTATACGCCGGGGAGGCTAGGCTATTGCTGAGAATGAAATGCACACGGAGATAATTGTTGGCTGCGGTCCGACACGCCGGGGACAAAGAGTGTAAACGACTGAGGCTCGCATGCGTCACCGCTACTAGAACTGAGGCAGAATGAGTGACAAGCGATTTCAGTGATAATTGATAGTGAATAGAAAAGAGGATGCTTGAAGAGTATCATGAGGTGCTGCTATGGTCACGTTGCATTCTGCAAGAGTCATTCTAGTAAGTGGCGATTGTGTTGCAAGATGTCAAGAGGAGGTCTCTGTCTGGAGGCGTAGGTCGTCATTGATGTGTGAGATTGTGCTGTGGGTATGCTTGTGGTGTGTTGGCTTTCCTGTTTGTTTTCCATTTCAGCTTTGTCCGTGTGACCCAGGTTCTCGCAATGGCATCCAAGTCAACGTGTATTGGTCGTGAAGGAAAAAAGGGTTGGATCCCTTTTTCTGGCGGGGAGTGTCAATGTAGTTGAAGATTGAACGATCGATTCTTGGTTGTTTGCTCAAAATCAACTTCCCCAATTTTCGCGGAGGCATCAATACGACAGTCATCGTCTCATCGGTCGCTGTTCAGAAAGAAGAGTGAAACATCGTCAGAAGTAACAATGATTTATTATTGTAATATTAGTTTTCAGACCTTAGTTGCTTAGTTCGTTTATTCCTTTTATATGTTGGTGTAACAATAAAGAAATAACAAGCAGCAGATCGGTGTTTTGGTTTTTGCGTCCGTTATTACTAAGCGTTTCTGAAACTCAAAGGAACAGCGTGGGCCCGAGCGTAGCGAGAGCTGGGCATTAACGGTTTATGAGACGAGACTGACAGCATGTATAATCTCCAGCGTACATGATAAACATATTTTGCTATCGATTGTAAAACGTGACTGAATAATATGGTCCTATTTCTGTAACAAATTGATGATGCCTGTAAACTGGCGTCCCTCATGTACTGTACCATGAGAATAAATCTATCTATTTATTTATTTATCAAATAAATAAATAAATTTATTCTCATGGTACAGTACACGAGGGGGCCAGTTTACAGGCATCATCAATTTGTTACAGAAATAGGACCATATTATTCAGTCACAATTTACAGTCGATATCAGAATATGTTTAACATGTACACTGGAGATTATACATACACTTGATAAATGTTAATCCCAATAGTATAAAACATCCTTTTCACTTATGTACAATCGTTTCTGTGCATGGTTGGAAAAATCCGCTAGATTGTCAGTGAGTGCAACACATCAGGAAATACAGAAGTATTGTCTTCGCATTATCAAGAAAAAACCAGGTCTTTGGTGGATGGATTATAAGTGCCTGGGAAAAAATAAAGCTTGAAGTCAGTTTCCATACATAATTTTGTTGTGTACAGAATTCTTGAATTATAGTTCATTGTTGTGTTATTTTGTTGTGTTAACTTTTGAAACATTATATACTTGTAGACATTCTACGATTTGAGATTATATCATTCTTGATCTTGCCTGTAAAATGGAATGCATTTTCATGTAAATTTATGTGTTTATATGAAAATAGAAATTTTTATTATTATTATGACGAATGATTCGGTCAATATTTCACTAAAATGCTAGGCAAAGTGTTGAGATATAATATTTCTCAAGCTCTTTCTCTCAAGAGCGTTTAATCTAATACATACAACACCAATGGCATATTCATCTGATGTTCCTTAATTCGAAACTTTCTAGTGTGTACTGTGTTCCGCAGTGTAGCTTATGATGGTGAAAATTGGTTGCGTGAAATAAATGCTTGACCGAATAAATTCGCTTTTTATTTATGACTCTAAGACGTGGCCATTGAGAATTGAAGAAATTAAAAGGTTAGTCTTGTTTTGACTCCAAATATTTACGTCCTGTCTGCTGTGTTAGATGGTGTAATGTGGTGAGCAATTTTTGGTTGTGCGTAGTGTTAGGTGAGAACGAGGGTAAAGTCAATCAGTTAGGTTGCTAAGCTATATCGAGTGACTTGGCTAGGACACGTCACGCACGACGGGCCACCACCTTCCCTCAACGAGCAATTTCAACTGATATAGGATCAGTCTGGGGAGGAATGAGGATCGGTCATTTCAAAGCTTAACATCAGTTCATAAAGTATTCGATAGCTGGTTTGAGCTAGCTACGTTGATTTAAACCAGACATGTAAGGAAGTGTAGACTACCAGGTTGAGATCCTTGGAAAGTTATGTACCAATGACCGGAAGCAGTTGACGATGTGACTCAAAGTCATTGTCAATGGTGCAGATGTAGAAACAAATTGTTATCATTGCGATTCATTAAGTCGTCAAGCTTACCGAAATTAACATTATTTATATTGTGATATATTATCGTAATATTTGTTCATAGACCTTAGTTGTAAAAAAAGTAGGCTATATGTTGGTGTTACAATAAGGAATTCTCGTGTCGTCAATCTGTGTTCTGGTTTCTGCGTCAGTTCGTACTGAGCGTTTCTGAGAAGCTTCGAGGGACAGCGTGAGGCCTAGCGTAGCAAGAGCTGGGCATTAACGGTTTACGAGATGTGACCCACAGTTTACGATAGTGAAGTCAGATTCTGACGGTAGAAACAGATTCTGGCGGATTCAGACAGTTAGTGAAAGTTGGGATAGTCACCGTTCATCTTTCCTGGTGCCGGTCAAGTCCTCTTTGAACAAGCAATATCTGGAACGATTTTGGAATTGGGTCAAGTTGAACAATGCCTGGGTCAAAGAAGGGACAGAGCGTCTTGGATGCAAACAGGAAAGTAAGTCATGTTGACTAGTCTGTTAATTGTTACGATCTGTCTGATGTTAAGCATGACATGGTTGATGTTACTGTTTCGCCATCCAGGGATAATAGGAACATCAAACTCTCTAAATTTGAACCACGGTGTTTCGATGGAAACCCGGCTGATTATTTACAATTTGTAAGGGAGTTTGAGATCATGCTGAGTAGTTTTTTATTAAGTGATGAATTGAAATTGATGTATTTGATGAGGTATTGCACTGGAGATGCTTCAAGAGCTATACAGTGCTGTAAGTTTATGAAGCCAAAAGAGGGCTACAACGAGGCTATGAGCATACTACGTCAAAGGTTTGGAAGAACTTCGATGATTATAGGGAAATTATTTGAGGCTGTTAAGGGTAATGGCAGTCAATTACAGGATGACTCTCAGGCACTTACTGAGTTTTTGGATAATCTGCTGACTTACAAGAATGCATTGATTTCGATGAATTGCATGGGTGACCTCAACTCGAGTTTTATACTAGAAGTAATAGCAAGACGTCTACCTACTCGACTGCAAAGGAAGTGGGCGAAGATAAGCTCCCGTATGGAGGATGAAGGTATCGAGCCAAAGTTTGATGATATCCTGAAATTAGTAAAAGATAGTGTCAATCAATCGATGAGCAAGTTGGCCAGTATATTGAATCTCAACCCTAGAATAGAGCAGTCTGAGGGCAAAATGCAATCATTGATGACGAAAGGGCCTCAGAGAGGTGGATATCGAGAAGGCTCTATGGTGTCAAGTAATGAATATAGATTAATTGAGTGTAAAAGCTTATGTCAGTCACGTCTCGTAAACCGCCAATGCCCAGCTCTTGCAACGCTGGGACTCACGATGCTCCTTGAAGTTTCTCAGAAAAGCTTAGTAATAACAGACGCAAAAAGCAAAACACCGATTCGCGATTCGAGAATTCTTTTTTGTAACACCAACATATAGGCAACTTTTAAAATCAAGCTTTAACAGTAAGGTTCATGACGGTTATGTCCTGACTTTTTTCTGAACAGCGACCGATGAGACTATGACTGTCGTATTGGTGCCTGCGCGAAAACTGGGGAAGTTGGTTTCGAGCAAACAACCATGAATTGATCGTTCAATCTTCAACCACATTGACAGATTTCGTGGTGCATCCATAACATATAAGTTACAAGATGCAAGACAAACACGGTTGTGTTTTACACTTTTGCAAGTAGTTCATACAAGGGTGAACTGTGAGTTGATGGGCGTCTTTTCCATTGTGGATGACAACACCAACGACGACTGAGTGACACAAGTTGATGAACGTAGCGGTGGATCAGAAGCTTTTGTTGCTTGACTTTCAGAAATTTGTCTACATGCAAGATCACCACCACTGCTGTCTTTTACTATCAGCTCAGGTTTAGCAATAGCATCTGATGTTAGGTGGGCTACATGCTGATCAATCACACTGACGGTCTCACAAGTATGTATGCCTTCTGCAACTGCATCTGCATTCAATTCTACTTCACCTTCAAGTTGTACAGAACCTTTAATTATCTTAGCAGGAGTAGGCATATCCCGCATCTCATCATGATAAACCAAAGACAAATGTGAAGTATCATCATCATTATCACGAATATTCACTTTACCATCATCTATCTGGTCGACTCCATCAATTTCAAACTCTTTAATAACACAAGTAGACAATTTCGGTTCCTCCTCACAAATCCCTAAATGTTTTATATCTTCACTCTGACTGGTAATACCTTGTAAACTTGTGGAGTCATAACTGCCCTCTGAGAATGTAACTCTCTTCTGCGACACTCTATTCAACGATGGTTTACCAGTTGCAACTACAGACTTCTTGACCAAACCGTTATCGTCACACTATTCGGAGTCAGACCTTGATTTCACATATACATTACGACTGAACTTGCTCACTGATTCACAGTTCACCCTTGTATGAACTACTTGCAAAAGTGTAAAACACAACCGTGTTTGTCTTGCATCTTGTAACTTATATGTTATGGATGCACCACGAAATCTGTCAATGTGGTTGAAGATTGAACGATCAATTCATGGTTGTTTGCTCGAAACCAACTTCCCCAGTTTTCGCGCAGGCACCAATACGACAGTCATAGTCTCATCGGTCGCTGTTCAGAAAAAAGTCAGGACATAACCGTCATGAACCTTACTGTTAAAGCTTGATTTTAAAAGTTGCCTATATGTTGGTGTTACAAAAAAGAATTCTCGAATCGCGAATCGGTGTTTTGCTTTTTGCGTCTGTTATTACTAAGCTTTTCTGAGAAACTTCAAGGAGCATCGTGAGTCCCAGCGTTGCAAGAGCTGGGCATTGGCGGTTTACGAGACGTGACTGACATAAGCTTTTACACTCAATTAATCTATATTCATTACTTGACACCATAGAGCCTTCTCGATATCCACCTCTCTGAGGCCCTTTCGTCATCAATGATTGCATTTTGCCCTCAGACTGCTCTATTCTAGGGTTGAGATTCAATATACTGGCCAACTTGCTCATCGATTGATTGACACTATCTTTTACTAATTTCAGGATATCATCAAACTTTGGCTCGATACCTTCATCCTCCATACGGGAGCTTATCTTCGCCCACTTCCTTTGCAGTCGAGTAGGTAGAAGTCTTGCTATTACTTCTAGTATAAAACTCGAGTTGAGGTCACCCATGCAATTCATCGAAATCAATGCATTCTTGTAAGTCAGCAGATTATCCAAAAACTCAGTAAGTGCCTGAGAGTCATCCTGTAATTGACTGCCATTACCCTTAACAGCCTCAAATAATTTCCCTATAATCATCGAAGTTCTTCCAAACCTTTGACGTAGTATGCTCATAGCCTCGTTGTAGCCCTCTTTTGGCTTCATAAACTTACAGCACTGTATAGCTCTTGAAGCATCTCCAGTGCAATACCTCATCAAATACATCAATTTCAATTC